ACGTGTTTAGGGCCATTCTTGGCTTTTTTTAATGACATTTAGAGCGTTCAATATCTTTATCGTTAACGTTAGGACGAGTTGGGAGCCAATTATTAATTGAGAGCAAGATTTGAGTAAGAAATAACTTGGGTAATATAGTAAACCCTTAATTATTAGTTGTGATGTTAGGGTAGGAGTTAATTTTAAGACCTTGCTGTAGGATACTAACGCTGGTAGATATTGTTAGATTTGGTCCTATTGCTGTTAGTCTCACGTTTTTAAAATGTGTTTAATAGGGAGAGTTTTCTACACCCTTGTAAAAAATGATTCGTTCCCCTCTCCAATTGACGAGGGATTTAGCAAAATTAGATTAAAATTCATGAAATTGGATGATTTTGTCACTAAAAAACGTTTGGGTAGTAAGACACTTTCTTGTTCGGATGACTACCATTTTTAAATATGTCAACAATAAGAAAGTTGTTTAGGTATTTGTTCTTCATAAGACTTTTGTGTGCATGCTTTGAATGACATTATGTTCGTAAATGAAATTATGGTAACATGTTGGGATATGGAGTCTGTTGTCTATTTATAATAAAACTGTATATAGAAAACATATGGTAAACGACTATTTATATTAAGAATAATATAGGGTAAATATTTATATATGGTAAAATTATATATAATTAATGGAAACCATATATATAATTATTAGGCAGTGGTTTAAAGATGTACTTTCTTCATTTTCTGTATTTTTTATTGTTCTACATACATCGATGCAGAACCATTAGTTAATATTACTCATTACGTTTTCTCTCTTATTATTTTGTATTTATTTAGATCGAGTGTGTGCGTTGTTGTGCTATTCTAACACAAGGGTCGTGACGAGAAGAGCTTACTAGCTCCTCTCGAGGGATTATTCCGAAAATTTAATTACTTAAAAACATAGAAACATAAGTAGTAATCCAAAATTTAAGGCTCGAAAACTGATACAACGTACTCAAACAAATTTAAATGAATCACTTTTAGGCTATAAGTGCTTGAATTATATAATTCTTTACTAGCCAAAAATTTCACTCCAATTGGGTCAGGCCGCTAGTGAAGCTAGAAATGGCGACCGGAACTCATCGTCGGAATGTTCGCCGGCGGATGGGTTCCCCCATGGCCGCTTGAAGAAGCTCCTCCAGCCAGCATTTCAGCATCACTCTTCCATTCATAAACTAATTTGTTCAGCCTCTCCACTAGTTTCTTCGCTCCCAATTCGTACACCACGTCTTCAATCTAATAACCATTCATCATATCAAACTCAAGGTTAGAAATTACGAATCTAGAGCTTTCCCGAGGTTTATGGAGCCCTCGAACAGCCTCCCCTTAATCGAGGCTCAATTCCTTCTCTGGAGTCCTCGAACAAAGTACAGGCTTTGTTCGACACTTGAGTCACTTTTGACTACACCTTCGAGGCTCATAACTTTCTTTGTTCGACATTTGAGGATTCTATTAACATGGCTAAGTTAAGGGCATAACTTTAATACCATATTAGGAATCATGGATCTCCCTGGTATGATATTATCCACTTTGAGCATAAACTCTCATGGCTTTGCTTTGGGTTTTCTCCAAAAGGCCTTGCACCAGTGGAGATGTATTCGTTACTTATAAACCTAGATTCAAAAGCTTAAACCGATAATTACGACCAATATACCTGTGCATGGATCGAATACAAGAACATGTCCTCATGAACGGAATAATTAAGATTAATGATCTCCGCTCGCTCCTCATGAAAGACGCCAATAAGCTCATCAAACAAAGACCGATCCTCAAACCCTCTTGTGAAAACAACCTCCACAATCGAACCCATCTCTTTGATTCTCAATTCAGGCGAGTTATTATTCGTCGACGCTCTGTCCGACAGCGCCGACGACATATTCAACCTTGCCAGAATTCTCTCCTTCTTCTCCTTGCACTTCTGCAGCTTCATCTCAAGTGATTTTATGTACTTAATGGCTTCCTCTATCTGATCCGACACCGTCAATGGCGAATCCTACAAAAATTTCAAATTTTGATGAGAACCCATTTGAGAACAAACCTTAAAAACCTTAATTACATCGAAAATTTGAAACAAACAGTGGATTGATTGGGTGGAAGGAGAGAATTGAGGTTGGAATACAGCAATTTCATCTGGTTTCTTCGATTTTTCTCCATAACTTTTCTTTCAACCTTGTTGGTATTAACATTTTGTTGATTTTGTTGATTCCCAGCTTCGCGATTACTCTCCATGGAATGATCAAAATCGAATTCCCAGAAACTGATTTAAACGGGAGAGTATTTATATGGAGAAATTTAGTCGTTGAAAATGGAAGGAGTTAGTCAACGGCGCACTTTAGCTACATGATAATTGCGGCGGTCTATTAAGGAGGTGGCGCACGTGGGATAAGTTCATGAATTTCTTTGATTAATTGACTTATTACGCGGTCGGTCATCATGGTGGAAAATAATAATAAAAAGAACAGGAAATTAAAGACATTATGGAGGCTGTTTTTTGTAACTAAACGTGTTGTTCTTGACGACATGTTCTATGAAATATGTGGCCTTTGACTCGTCGCTTTTTCACATAATGGTCTTAATTTTCTATGTATACATTTCTCAATTTTCTTAATAGTTCAGTAATTTAGGTTATCTATAAATAAACCCGAGCCGCAGTTGAATTTTTCATCTGGATGTATCTTTTTTGTTTTCGTCTAGATCAAGTGTTCGTGAGTTATATGATACTAACTGATTAAAGAGAGATGTTTTCGATTGGGTTGTTTCCAATTATGATCGTGTCGTGTCATGTTCGATTGACTTACGCGTGAACTTCTTCCCGTGCCTTCTTTTTGGCAGTTGTATTCGTGTTCTCGCTTGCGTGCTGCACGTAGAGCTCAGATGAGTACATATTGGGGACCCGTGCAACATCAAGGATCGATTATGGGAAATTGATTTCATGTTGTTTTCCTTTGATTTCAGGTTCTAGATTTCAAGATTTCAAGATTTCAAGTTGTAGTCAAATGATCTATGTTTCTTTGTGCGAGTAGTTGGTTTAGCTCACGATCTGGTTGGTACACAATCAATTTAGTGCATACAAAGTCAACCAGCTTTGGTTCTTTCACTCTAACTAGAGAGAGGGGCAGTCGGCGTGTGTAGTCGAACAAGCTTGGATTCCACACAAACGTTGTTCAGTTGGCGAAGACAAATCTCACCTAAGGTTCGTGAAGCCACAAAATCGAGACAAAAAATATATATGGAGCTTGATTCTCCTTAAGACTGACCGTGAGCGTGTTAAGATCACGACGCCGCACAGTTGAAAAAATAAGATCGTGACGGGAGAGAGGTAGAGAGAGAGAAAAGATTGTTTGATAAGTTATGGCGCGTTCTCTTAAAAACATCTGCAAAAGGACTATTATGGTCAAAGTAGAATCTTATTTAGTCTTGCAACATTTTCTATTGGACTAAAAAACTCGTGGGCTGCGTTCTAGTTTTGGAATCCTCTAGCAGACATACTGAACCATTTATTATCCTAAGGCAATATGACTGACAGGCAGGTGAGGTTTGGATCGTACTGATTCATGTCAATTTCCATCGGTTGATTCAGTACGATATTACTCACTTTGAACATATGCTTTCATGACTTTACTTTTTAGTACAATTCTCAACAAAACTTCTTCGTACCCATGATCAGAGAACTAACGTAACTCATGGAATAAGTAAATTTTTGGATATAAGAAAGCGAGAGGTGCACGTGCATGTATATATTAATGCGGCTCAAAATATTTTTCCCGAAAGATGGATACACTGAATGTAACCGATAGTAAAGTCCAAGTTAGAAAATTCGGTTATGTTTTTATTTAATTTGAGAGTAGAAACATGTGAATTGATATTACATACATTGAAGATGGTCGTAAGTACTCACATTAAATAGTGGGACAGGACGGGATAAGTTAAAGAACAACATTAAAGAAAGTAATATGAAAACAAAAGATGTGCAACGGCGCCCAAATATGCGTTTTGAGTCTATTGACCTAAGTTTCCATTTATGGTAAGTTGGACTAATTGATGGGTGTAAAGTACATATGCTTTGTTTTTATCATATGAATGTAGACGGAAAAATTGATAATATTTAGCCTTTCATTACGGTTTAACATAGGTATCATATTTAACTGATCATTAATCTTGTGTATCCATTTTAAGTGTGATGGTTTTAGTAAATATTCTCATGGTATCAGAGCTCGATTAAGGTTTTGTGAATAATATTGGCTTAAAATATGGAAACGCTTGATATAATATAGAGTTCATTATATCATGGTCTGTTTCTCCAAAGTATGTTATTGGTGGCTGCGTGCTGGATATCATGATCATACTTGTCTTGGACGTGTTGTATATGGCAGCATGACGGTTACAAACCCTTTTTACTTGCTTTTTTTAACAGGACACTCAATATGAATTCTAGAATCGATACCTAGTAAACAATGGGAAAATAGAAGTTTGTAACGAAGGATTAGGAACCATCAACGTTTGTAATCATAATTTGTGTTTTATTTATTAAGCCATGATTGGATTGACGAGTTACAATCATTTATAACTTAGATGTCAGCTGATATTTTGCAATAAAAAACTTTAACGAGGATTGGTAAGAGTATGGGTTCATATTTCTCAAACTGTGGTTCGTATCCTCAGGAATGAAATAGTGATGCTCTACCACTCGGTTATACTCCATATGACATTGTTTTGAAAGGTAAAACGAGAAAAGCGGGAAGGGAGAAGCATGGCTCGAAGAATAAGCCAAGTCGTATAAGAATCAGAGATATAGTTGACAATCAAGACTCTCTATGGATCATGCACGGGATCCATCCGATCTAGAATACAATGAATGGAAGACTAGACTAGTTATGAAGGCGTCGAAGAGTGAAACACAACATAAAATCACAGCTTATCAAATTACGTAAAGGTATTTTCCGATAGCTGTAGACATCGGGAATCCTTAGAATTACCGTTACGAAACTCGATTTATAGCTTTTTTTTTTTTAATAATAATAATAATAACGCTTAAAATAATGGGTGGTCCATCGACCATTTCCCTATCCACTCGAAATCTCCTGAAGTCTTCCAATTGGCTTCCAATCAATCTTGTGGCTCTAAAAACAGCCACCGTATCTCGCCGTCGGAGTGTCCTCCGACGGATGGCTTCCACCATAACCACTGGAAGAAGCTCCTGCAGCCTGCTGTTCTGCATCACTCTTCCATTCATAAGCTAACCTTTTCAGCCTCTCCGTTAGTTTGGTCGCTCCGAACGCGTACATCACGTCTTCAATCTACGAACACGTCGTAACCACGTCAAAACTATTACTAAACTCAAAAGCTTAAACGGATGAATTACGATCACCATACCTCAGCATGGAGCGAGTAAAGGACGGTGTCATCGAGAACAGAATAAGTAGCATTGATGATCTCGGCTCGCTCCTCATGGAAGATGCGAATAATCTCATAAAATAAGAACCGATCATTCAATTCCGTCATGAAAACAACCTCAACAGCGGAACCCATCTCTTTGATTTTCAATTCCGGTAGGTTACTACTCGGGCTCCTCGTCGGCGCCGACATAAGAATTCTCTTCTTCTTCTCCTTGACTTTGTCGAGCTTGACGGTAAGTGATTGTATGTACTTAATTGCCTCCTCTATCTGATCCAACACCGTCAATGGCGAATCCTACAAAAATTTGAAATTTTGATGGAAACCCAATTGAGAACAAAGCTTAAAAACCTTAATTAAATCGAAAATTGAAACAAACAGTGGATTGATTGGGTGGGAGGAGAGAATTGAGCTTGGAATACAGCAATTTCATCTGGTTTCTTCGATTCTTCTCCAAAACCTTTCTTTCAACCTTGTTAGTGCTTCCATTTTGTTGGTTCCCAGCTGCTTCCCGACCTCTCTCCATCGAATAATCACTGAAATTTCAGACACAAACAACGTTAAAACAGACCACACACACACATATATATATATATGTCACATGGGGGAGGCCGTAATAGTGGAAAATGAAAGTATAAAAAGAGAAGAAAATAAATTCATGAGGGGTCGGCCGTTTTTTTCAATTACACGTGGTGTTTATGACATGTCATATAAAATATCTGGCCGCTGGACTTGGCCTCAAAGATGGACGGGTGTTGTGGGGTTGGGTGGGTCCATTCCCGTCGAGTTAGGTCAGGTCGAGTCGAGTTGAGTTGAGATTTAACGAGGCTAACCTACTGGGTTGGTTTGGATTATACCTGTTATAATTATACCATAAACAAATATGTATTTTTTAAAATATAGAATATTTACTTAATCCACCTCATGTGGGTGAAAATTATCTATTTATAATCAAATAAATTACAAGGATAGAAGAAGAGTAATAAATTACGATGTTAAATATCTATATATTTGTCTTGTAATAAAATATCAAATATGATATATATGGTAAACTATAATTTAGTACTAAATATCTTTAACAAATACGTTTGGACAGGTTCATTTAACCTCATCAAGTTTTAGGGGAAGCTCATAAAGATGGAAAGGGTGTTGCAGGGTTCGGTGGGTCTTTGAGTCGGGTTAGTCAAGTTGAGACTTATTGTAAATTTTTTTCAACTTAAACATCTAATGTAGCTAACCCACGTGGTGTGGGTTGGTTTGAATTATAGGGTTATAATTGTATCATAAACAAGTATGTAATTTTTTTTATGCTACGTAATCTAATTTAAACCGTACTAGTTGAGTTCCAGCAAATAAGAGGAGATTTTTTTTTACTTAGAAATTATTCCTATTTTATTTTAGAGACGGCCAAGCAAACCGAGAAAGAGTTTACTTATTCATTAAATTTTTTTGTGGAAAAAGCTTAAACGATTCCGTGTTTTAACATAGACAGAAGGTGAATAAATGATTTCCGATTCAATCGCCTCTTTAAATAATTTCCCGCCTTCCTTTGAACAAGTGAATTTCATAGACTAATTATGAAAATATTTTTGAAAAAGTCTTATATGCACAAAATTAAAGAATACATACCTACATATGTATGTATGTATGTATGTTTAAGAATATAAAATTTAAGATTTATAAAATAGAAAATTTTATTAAATAAATTAAAAGGATAATTATATATATAAAAACAAAATTCCGGTGGAGCTTGTGTACCAAGTCATTGGGCGTCCACGTCTGCGTCCACGGAAGCCGCAAAGCGATCATTAATTCCAGCGTGTTCACACAAGTAAATGCATAAATACAAGAATTTTCTCTCAAACAAATTATGCCAAGTCAGTTTCATAATAATTTTTAGAATAATATTCAAAATAAATTATTTAATTATACTATTAACCAAAAAAAAAAAAAATCGAAAAACTGTGGTGGATTACGTGTGACTTAGGTCGACTACATGCAATCCATGTAGGTCTTAGCGTGTGAGAACTCGATAAAATTACCTTTATTCTGAGTGAAATACCTTAAATTATATAACTAAATCATCGATCATATTCGTAAATTATGAACTAAAGTCTTAAAATAATTGGACCATGCTTTCCTCGTTTCACTCTTGATTTTGTTCCCTCTTTTTTCAATGACTTCACGGATTCTTCTCCAAATTAATCCGGTAGGACTCTTGACCACACCCCTTTGAATGAAGACTCGAGAAAAGTTCACTCAATCCCTCCTGAGTCATTTTTTTACCATATCTTCGAGACTCACAACTTTTTTGTTCGACATTTGAAGATTCTATTAACATGTCTAAGCTAAGGGCATGACTCTGATACTATGTTAGAAACCACGAATCTCCACACTAGTATAATATTGTCTACCTTGAGTATAAACTCTCATAGTTTTGCTTTTGGTTTCCCCGAAAAGCCTCGTACCAATGAAGATATATTCCTTTATAAATTCATGACCATCAACAATGCTCAACACGGATCACGTATTTAACGTTTTGTCCTCTTAAATTTTTTCCACAGCTCTCTCGTTTTCGTAAATTTCTTATGAGGATTCTTTGTTCCAATCTGATAAGAAAGTTTTTCCCGTGTTATTCCACTTTATGGACATCTTGAGATGGGCGTACATAACATGATTTGTACTTATTTTTGTGAAAAAACGTCTCGAGAGTCAACAATTTGCTTTTCTAATATCAATGGGGTCAAAAGTGACTTGGAATAAAATATATTTGAAGTCTTTGTGTTTTTTTTCTTTCAAGTATTTAATAATATAGAATATTTTACCATGTATATTTCATCATTAATAAGTGTGTTTCAAAAGTCTTGTTTTTTTAATTAAATGTTAAACAGACAATATCTACAATTGTTTTTTTAATTAAAAACATAATCATAATGTTCCATAAACATAAGTTCTAAGTGGGTGGAGACAGAGATGTGGAATATAATCCAGCCTCCATCACGTGTAGTTAATAAAAAGATAACTCCGTCCATTCTCTCTCTTGTTCCTTCATTTCCCACTCAAGTCTCCATCCAGTGTAGCCAACTCAGAGAAAACTTCCTCCATTCTCTCTCTCATCCCTTCGTTTCCTGCTCGATATAGAACGAGTTAACCCTAAACGTGATGTGAATGTGTTACGTAAACATGTTATTTGTATGGAAATGAGGTATGAACAACAATAAGTTTCGAATCACTCCAAATGGTTGGTAGTGTAAGTAAGTCAAGGAGCCATCAAGGAATAAAGGCATGAGAGGCAGGTGGTTGTTGGAGTTCGATATTAGCTAATTAAAGAGAAGATTATGAGAGAATTATACTTAAAGTGGATAATATCATATCACTGTAAAAGTTTGTTGTTTCTATTTAGTTAAACTTAAGTTACGACCAACTTTTTCATTCTTGCTTTGGAACTCCATTTGCTTCTTAGAAATGACGTTAGATATCAAGTAGGGATAACTCAGTTGGAAGAGCGATAGACTGAACATCTAAAGTTCACGTTATTTACTTCATGCTTTTAAGCGTGAAGACTAACCCTACAGACCAACACGGGTTCTTTTAGCATGTTTTGTCCTCACTCATATGTTTCCAAAGAAAATGTCCACGAGATCATCTAATATAAAATTGCTCCAAGTAAAAGCATCCTTAAGTTTGGAGTTCTTATGATGGAGCCCACCAAAGCGGAAGGTGCACCTTGTTTGTATAAGTATTAATTTTCAATTCTTTTAAGTCATTCTTAGTCATCCTATCTTCAAGATTGTTCTTATTTGGATGTCGTCATGGTTCATTCGTGTACCCCTTCTTTATTCGATTGTCGCAACATGTTTCACTCTGATGCTTCAAGCTCGAACGACTTTGTTTTCTCTATAATCCAAAAATCAAATAGATGAAGAAAATAAAGAGAGTGAGATAATAACTTCAAGAGCAAATGATCATTTATCAATTACAAACTTCATTTATAGTTTACCGGTACCAATAGTTACATAACCAACTTAGCGTTAGCGAGATATTCTTTTCCGAGACAATCTTTTCTAGGTATCATAAACGAAACTTTAAAAGACTTTTGCCAATATTAAAGCTTTCATGAGTCTCATTAAAAAATAATAATAACAAAGCCAGGCACTAAGCTACTAACATAGGACAAACTCTAGTTAAACATTTAAACATGACCTATTCTCCCTCTCAAAACTATCAAGCGGGGATAGCTCAGTTGGGAGAGCGTCAGACTGAAGATCACGCTCATCGCATTCTTTTTTTTTTTTTTTTTTTCATTTTTGGGCTCTATTGTTTACAATGAATTTATAATACATTACATATACAAAGACGAGATTGGCATTTTATATACATAGCTCAATGAACAAAAATGATTGTCGCCTCCTGTTTCTTTGTTCTTTCCTTCTCTTCTAGGAAGCCCGACACCTAAATCTTTCCCCAGCTTAAACACGATGGTTCAGTTTCCTATCTACATCACATAAATTTTGATTTTTGCTTTCGACTCTAAATGATGCTGAAAAGTAAACGTGTTCCCTGTTTCCATGTTTGACGAACCCGAGAGCCTTCAAGTGAAATGGCGTCGTGAACGAATGGAGAACTTTAGCTAACTATCAGAGCTGACGCTTTTGAATGTTCCAACTTACAAGAGCCAAGTTGGTCTCTGTGCAGCTTTTTGATGAGCTCGTCTGTGGAGCTTTTGTCTTTACTCGACGATTCTGGCTTTGGAACTCGCTTTCCTTCTTCGACATGTTTGTAAGAAGCAAATTCAATAGAACCAGACGACGTTAGATACTCGCTCGGAATCGTAGAAACATGTTTCTCCCTTTTGGACTTTGGAAATCTTGGTCCCTGAGTTATAGGTCCTGAATTTGAGGTTCTCTTGGACACCAAACTGTAAGAACACGTCGAGCTCGAACGACTTTGTTTTCTCTATAATCCAAAGAAATCAAATAGATGAAGAAAATTAAAAGACTGAGATGATAACTTCTGAAGCAGAAAGGCAACTGATCATATATAAATTACAAACTTCATTTGGAGTTTACCAATAGTGACATAACCAACTCAGGGTTCGCCTTAGCTGAAGGAACCACCCGTGATTGCTTCAGTCCTTTCGTTTCCGAGTCAATTGTTCGGTTTTTTCCACCGACTACTCCTCGTTGCCTGCGTAAAATATAGAACTAAGAGTCTGCAAATGGTGAAGCTGAAGCTAATTATTAATTTTCCTATATATTTTACCTCCTTGCTTCCTCTTCGCGCATTTTCGAGTCGATCTCTTTGCTGGGAGGGTATTTTGGCAAACTTGAAGGATCGCATGGTAATGGCCTCGTGGTAAAGAACTGTTGGAATAGAACCATTGTTTTGGAGGATGAGTATCATCACTTTCCAGTTTCAACTGAATTGAATCTTGTTGGATAATGGGATTTCACAGAGTAAGAAATGTTATGTACCTCACTGTTGAGTGCAGACGCCGCAGTTCCTCGCCCTGCAGGATCGATAGACAGCAAAGTGTCCATAAGCTCAACAGCAGCACGAGGCAAATC